CACATTTTTTAATTTAAGTATAGTTGATTTACAATGTTGTGCTAATTTCTGCTATACAGCAAAGTGATTCAGTTATATATATATATATATATATATATATATATACACACACACATATTCTTTTTGTTATATTCTTTTCCATTATTGTTTATCATAGGATATTGAATATAGTTCCCTATGCTATACAGAAGGACCTTGTTGCTTATCCATTCGATATGTAATAGCTTGTATCTACTAACCCCAAATATCCAGTCCATCCCTGCCCCACCCCTTCCCCCTTGGCAACCACAAGTCTGTTCTCTATGTCTGTGAGTCTGTTTCTGTTTTGTAGAAAGGTTCATATGTGTCATGTATTAGATTCCACATGTAAGTGACATCATATGGCATTTGTCCTTCTCTTTCAGACTTACTTCACTTAGTATGACAATCTCTAGATCCATCCATGTTGCTGCATTATTTCATACTTTTTTATTGCTGAGTAGTATTCTGTTGTATATATGTACCACGTCTTCCTCATCCATTCATCTGGCAATGGACAGTTAGGGTGCTTCCATGTCTTGGTTATTGTAAACAAAAGGCACTGGATTTCTGAGTCTAGACAAGAGGATTCTTCCCCTGTGGCCTGGGGGCCAAGTGTGGGGAAGGGGACCATTAGGGAAATGGTTATCAGGACAAGAGTGAGTAAGTGAATGGGTGCCAAGCAGCAGAAACTGAGTCATTTGCACAAACTCAAAGATTCCAGTGTAAGCACATTAAAAAGGGCAGAAGATGTTACACGTCAAATGTTCCTCATTAGGCGGTTGGAACCACCATTCCTCAGTTACATAATGTCATGTGGGTCAATGAACACAGCTGTTCAATAAACCAAGCCCTTGGGATCTTAGTGAGTTAACACGATAAATGGGTGCGCATCCCAATGTAGCTATAGTGTTTTTCAGTGCATCATATAGGCCACTGATTTAGCCATTTTATAAAAATAAGAATATTAGAATTTTCTTTTTTGTTTAATATACACTAAAGTCTCATGTGTCCAATACTGGGCACTGGAGGTGCACTTTCCAAAATGTACTTCTTGAAGTGGCCTAGACTTTCTCAATTTCAATGATTTTACTATAAATCCCCCTGAAACACATGACACATTTCCCCATCTTAATAACCAGACCACTGAACACAATCTAACCTGACATTGGTCTTCTCTGATCTACTACAGTGATGCCCTCGGGGGATGTTGAGGTGTATAGCACTGTTTGCCATTACACCAAATGGTGCCATATCATCCTGTTTCCTTTGTTGGATGCTGTGGGATTGAGGACAAATATGACCTAATCTGGTCTGGAGTGTCTGAAAGGTTTCTAGGCCCTAGACTCACTAGTGTAATGCACACCTCTACTACTTGTAATAGTTGATCTTAATGTATTTGCAGATTTGCAAGCGTGAACCTAGTACATCACATGATTAAGAGGCTTTCTAAAAAGGAATGACAATTCTCTCTGACTCTAGTTTTCTTAATGCATATAACTTTCTTCATTGCACCGATGTAAAAATAACACAGGTCCTAAAGAGGAGGTCTACAACCATAAAGAAAATCCTGTGCCTCTAAACAACGCTTAGCTTCTGAAACTTGTGCCAATAGGAAGTCAATCGTCAAAGATGCATCCCCCCAAAAAGGCATACTCTCCAACACCAAAAAGTAAGGGAGAGGGAAAAACCTCCCAGAAGGCAAAGCTGGGCCTCAGAGAGCTATGAGATTTGAGAGATTTGAGCTATGAGAGAGATTTCCTCCCAAAGAGTATAAACAAATGTTAATGAAGGAATCCTCCCACTTCGAGGGTAGAAGAGCATCCCACTGTGTGTCCAACATTGCTATGAACCGGTGACTGTTGTGTGTCTCCCATTCTTCTGAATGAGAATTTTTATTGTAGTGTGACTTCACTACTTCACTAGTAAATGAGGGCAGATAACTCTCAAACTCTTTTTCAGCAGAGCTGGGAGAGGGATGCAATCTACAGATTCCACAATATACGTAAGGATTACCAAAAGAAGATGAGATTGCACAGAAGCAATATGGGAAAATAATACAGAGAAGAAGTACAGAGAATGGTGAGAGGGTCCATAGGTGGCAAATCTCAGAAAGTCCCTGCAAAAATCCAGTTATGAAAGTGAGTGTCTCACCTTGAACTTCAAAAAAGATATCCCTATATGTACCAAGTATGGAAGGTAGCATGAAGAGGGAGAGCAGCAGAAGCCCCCCTAAACTTGATCTGATCCAGAAAAACAGAAGAGGCAGAGCTATACAGAGAATAACACAGATGGGCCATATTTGCAGGAAGCACTCTGTCTCTTTGACAACAGGAAAGAGGAGAGTCTTGGCATGTGCTACCAGAAAGGTTACCTGCTTCTCCCTGCTCTGCTCTCCCCAGCCCATGGAAATGTTCAGCAGAGAGCTGGTCCAGGAATATCCAGTTCATTTGGCATCAAGTATGTGAAAAAGAAACTGGCCCAGGGACTTCCCTGGTGGCGCAGTGGTTAAGAATCTGCCTGTCAATGCAGGGGACATGGGTTTGAGCTCTGGTCCGGGAAGATCCCACATGTCACGGAACAACTAAGCCTGTGCACCACAACTACTGAGCCTGCACTCTAGAGCCCACGAACCACAACTATTGAGCCTGCACGCCACAACTACTGAAGCCCGTGCACCTACAGCCTGTGCTCCGCAACAAGAGAAGCCACCGCAATGAGAAGCCCATGCACCGCAACAAAGAGCAGCCCCTGCTCGCCATAACTAGAGAAAGATCACACACAGCAACGAAGACCCAACGCAGCCGAAAAAATAATAAAAAATTAAAAAGAAAGAAACTGGCCCAGCATAAATATAAAGCTTCCGTTTTTTTAAAAATGTGAAAGAGCAGCAAAACTTACCAGTGAATGTGAGACACTCAGCAGAAAAATGTTGCCCCAACCAGACGAAAAGTGTAAACAACTATGAAGTAATCACCTCTAAGAATCATCACAGAGAAACCACAAAGATGCAAGAAATCAGGGAGGAAATGGTGAGATAACAAGTGCAGATGAAATGTGAGCCGAGCTAATAGAATGCAGGGAAAAAGTAGGAAAGAAAAAAGTCCCCTAATGATCATAAAAATGAAAACAAAATTGGAAGAAGCACATGGCAGAGTAGGCACTGTGAAAAAATAACAAAAAAAAGAAGATAATACTAACAAGTTGGAAACCAAATTTTAAAGATAAAAAGGAGTAGAGGGAAAACACTAGACATAGAAGACAAGCAAAGAAGTGATGATAGATGTATAACTGGAATCCCCAAAGAACAGAACCAAAATCATACAGCAGAGAAAATGTTTAAAAGTAGCAATCAAGAAAACTTTCCTGAGATAAAAGGGACAAAACCTGGTAGCGTTATCAGATGAAAGATAAAGAAATAATCTTTTGAGTAGCTGAGCAAAAAGAGCAAGTCACTTATAAAAGGGAAAAACTTGTCTGGCATCAGGTTTCTCCACAGCAACATAAGCATTGGGAGAAAGTGGAGATCCAACAAGATCCTTAAAAAAGAACATGTGAGTCAAGGGTTTCATTTCCAGCCAAACTGCCCTTCAAGTATAAGACCATTTTGAACAACACAAGAACCCAGGGAATATTGCTCCCTGGAGCCATTCTGAAGGCAACTACCTGAAGAAGAGTTTCAGCCAAGCAAGTGATGGTGACAAAAACTATAGCAAAACCATGATGAAAACCAGGGCTAGAGATGAACACCGACAATACTTAACTGTAGAACTATGACTAAAACAAATGGGAGTGCCCAGGTAGCAGAACAGAATAGCAGAATGTGAAATATACACCCTGACGTTACAGAATGATACAATAAGTAATAATTGATAGTGGAAGAAGAAAAGAAGTTGAGATGCTGAGTAAGTTCCCTGACTGCATTATATATAATAATTGAGAGCCAAGAGTTATTAAAGTGGGCAAATCTTCTAATAGAAGCCTAAGCATATTTAATAATGTAAAAGTAAACATTAAAAGGATGGTGCCAACTAAAATTGTGTGGTGGAGAAAGAGATGTCATCACCCATCATAAGGAACTAATAGATACTACTTAAAGAATAGAACACTAAGGTTATTATATGTGATTATAATTATAAAGTTAACCCCTATGACAAATCGTTTAATCCCTATGGCAAAAATACAAAACTCCCCAAGTATAAGAAAAAAGACACACACAAAAATTGACAAAAGACAAAAATTGGTGCAGGAAGGAAGTAATCATAGCTCGCCTTATGATCAGTTGGAAGAGGAGCATTTACCTAGCAAAATAATGCAACTATTCACATTCACTTTTGATCTAATCAAACTATACTGGGAAGGAAAGAGGACAGGAAGAGAGCTCTTCTACAGTGGGGCGGGGAGGAAAAAGAGAACTGATTCCTCATCTTCCACAATGGGAAGTCAAGAAATCATCTCTAAAATAAAATTCGGGAAGTGTAATACCAAGGTGACATTTAAAGACATGGAGATGGATATCAAAATAATCATGCAAAAGAAATGAAAGGGGTTGCCCCAGGGGAGGTGAAAAAAGAGGAGAGGGGCAGAGACTGCTGTTTTACATAACAAACTTTGTGGAACACAGTTTGGCTGTTTAATGTATAACTTCAATAAAAAGTACACTTTTTAAAAAAGAATCTGAGCTCAACTGAGCAATCAGAGTTCAACTGATCGTTCAGAGGTTCATTTTTTACCCTAACCTTTCCATGAGGTCCTTTCAAACGAAAGTTTCCCTAGTCTTTCATTTTGAAAAATGAAATTCTTCATTCTGCTCTGCCTTTTATTGAAAGCCACCACACAAGTACTGCATTAATCTGACAGTGTTTCCTCAGCCTCCTTTGAACCTCCGGCTGCCATGTATTCTATGAGGACAAAATGTTGATTTTAGTGCCATTACTCAGGAGGGCCTGCAGAGGAAAAGATACTTGCAAATACATTGATACCTATGGTGGTGATGACAGTTCCAGCAAAGAAAAAGGCACTTCCGAGGTCCCAGTGACTGCTGTTGTTAGAAGAGTTTCCTATGGGGCTTACTCCTGCGTTGTCAGCGTCAAGAGCATGCTGCAAGGAAAGTGAGAAAGCATGAGGTTCAGTGAAAAAGCTTACCAAGGGGCTTCCCTGGTGGCGCAGTGGTTAAGGATCGTCTGCCAATAAATCCAGGAATATCTCACGTGCCGCGGAGCAACTAAGCCCATGCACCACAACTACTGAGCCCGCATGCTGCAACTACTGAAGCCCACGTGCCTAGAGCCCATGCTCCGCAACAAGAGAAGCCACCGCAATGAGAAGCCCACACACTGCAACGCAGAGTAGCCCCCGCTCACCACAACTAGAGAAAGCCCGCGTGCAGCAAAAGACCCAAGGCAGCCAAAAAGAATAAATAAATAAAATAAATATGTTTTTTAAAAAAGATTGCTTTAAAAAATAATAAGAAATGAGTGAACAAACTAAAGTAATAAATGTAGGCACATGATCTTCCCAAAGGTGTGAGAAGAAAGCAATTTAAAATAAGTTTATAAAAAAAAAAAAAAAAAGCTTACTAAGATTTCCTTGCTCCAGAACCTGCAATGATCTATAAAGAACTGGTTATGTGGATGAGGGTACCGTCATACAATGAAATACTACTGTTACAGAGAAAAGCACAGGCCCAAATGGCACCACTTGTGCTAAAGTCCATGGTATCAAACCTGCACTTGATACCTGACTTTATTGCAGTTACGACCTTCCCCAGAAATGTAATCTTTTTTTACTATTTATTCTTTTCTTTTAGTGAAGTATAGTTGATTTACAATATTGTGTCAATTTCAGGTGTACAGCAAAGTGATTTAGTTATTGTTTTTCAGATTATATTCCATTATAGGTTATAACAAGATACTGAATATAGTTCCCTGTGCTGAATCCTTGTGCTTCTCTATTTTATGTATAGTAGTTTGTATCTGTTAATCCCATAACTCCTAATTTGTACCTCCCTCCCTCTCTCTCCCCTTTGGTAACCGTAAGTTTGTGTTCTGTGTCTGTGAGTCTATTTCTGTCTTGTATATAGACTCATTTGTACTATCTTTAGATTCCACATATAAATGATATCATGTAGTATTTGTCTTCCTCTGTCTGATTTACCTCGCTAAATATAATATTTTCTAGGTCTATCCAGAAATGTAATCTTAATCAACCAGTCTGGAATTGTCTGGTCAGCACCAATGAGGCAGCCTGTCTCATGGACCTGCTCCGTCCCCCAGAGGAAAAGAGGTAATGTGCATGCTAAAACCCCTGCTATTCTTTCCCCCCTCTCCCCCCAAAGAAGATGTCCTGACCTAAAAAATAATCCTTTCTTTTCTTTTGATAATAGCTCCTTTGCCCCACTCTCTTCCTATAAAAACCTTCCATTTTGTACAACCCCTGGGAGGACCCCTCTAGCTGCTAGATGGGTTGGTGCCTGATTCATAAATCATTGAATAAAGCCCATTAGGTCTTCAAACCTACTCGGTTGAATTTTGGTTTTTGTTTTAATTTTTTGGCCTCGCTGTGTGGCACGCAGGATCTTAGTTCCCTGACCAGGGATGGAACCCACGCCCCCTGCAGTGGAAACGCCAAGTCTTAACCACTGGATCACCAGGGAAGTCCCTGAATTTTGTTTTTTAACACTATACATCCACTTGTTAAAATTAGAAAATTAGTTTTAAATTGGGGGGAAAAATCCATATATAGTATGTTGCCATTTATGTAAAATTTGCAGACATAGGATTTACCCAGTCCTGGCAGAAGTTATGCAAAACGCATACATCTTGTTGTGCGTATACATAGAAAGATGTCTAAAAGGACTGGCATCCAAAGTGGTCACTCCCGGGAGGCAGGGTTTCAGTTCCTTTTCACTCTCTTTTTTTCTGTTTTGTTGGAATGTTTTACACTGAGCTTGTTTCAGGAGTTAAGAGCTTGGGCTCCTGGGTCAGAGTGTCATGGTTCTGCTCGTTAATCACCTCAGACACTTGGGCAAGTTATTATTATTTTTTTTAATGTATCTTTTTTTTTTTACATCTTTATTGGAGTATAATTGCTTTACAATGGTGTGTTAGTTTCTGCTTTATAACAAAGTGAATCAGTTATACATATGTTCCTATATCTCTTCCCTCCTGCGTCTCCCTCTCTCCCACCCTCCTTATCCCACCCCTCTAGGAGGTCACAAAGCACCGAGCTGATCTCCCTGTGCTATGCAGCTGCTTCCCACTAGCTATCTATTTTATGTTTGGTAGTGTATATATGGACTTCAGGATATGAGGAGGGGGAAGGGTAAACTGTGACAAAGCGAGAGAGTGGGCAAGTTATTTTAACCTCTCTAAGCCCAAATTTCCTCATTTGCAAACTGGAGATAACAATGCCTTCCCCCACAGAGTCGTTGTGAGGATTAAATGAGATGATTCATGTAATACGCTGAGCCCAATGCCCAGCACTGTGTCAGGGTTTAACAAATAGTTGACAATTTTGTGGCTGTCATTTCACTGTCCCCCAACACACACACACACACACACATACACACACACGGCTCCTTTTAAAAATAAATAACAATGACTCCTCACTGGCTACGGGATTTGGAATTCCATACACCTTAAAATTCCCAGTGACTTGGCCACATTGATGCTCCAACCTCATCTCACACTACACTATAAAAGCCTCCAGCCCTGGGCAGGAAACTCTATGAGACATCCCCTCATGCTTCTGGAACTTTGCTTTGCCCTCCCACAAAGGTGCCCACCCTTCAGGGTCTAATCTGGGCCCCATTTCTTCCAGGAGGTTCAGTTTGTACCTTGTAGCCTCCACAAAATGCCTCCGTCCCAGGACTTACGCTTCTGCACCCATACATTTAACGGGCTTTTGATCACACACTCCCTTGCTGGAAATCCTTCCCTACTCTCAGCATGCACAGAATAAGGTGGAAAATTCCTCAGCAGCCCTTCCTGAGCTCACCCTGCCAAACTCCTTCAGGCCAGGGGGGAGGGTAGCAAGAGATTTCAATCAGGTGAGCTGTAGTGAGGAAGGTAGGGGCTTCAGACGGAGGTGACAGAAATATGAGCTACTTCTAGGGTCTCCATTCGCTGGACAAAATTGTAATAACCCCATGTGAATATTGCCAGACACAATTAAATATTGCAATGGGATTATATTCATCCTAAATAATGCCCATAAAGCTCTGTTGAAACAAGCAGACAGGGGCTTCCCTGGTGGCACAGTGATTGAGGGTCCGCCTGCTGCTGCAGGGGACACGGGTTCGTGCCCCAGTCCGGAAGGATCCCACATGCCGCGGAGCGGCTAGGCCCGTGAGCCATGGCCGCTGAGCCTGCGCGTCTGGAGCCTGTGCTCCGCAATGGGAGAGGCCATAACAGTGAAAGGCCCGCGTACCGCAAAAACAACAACAACAACAAAAAACAACAAGCAGACAGTGGTTGCCATAAATTAGATTACAAATGAAAAAGTCAATCATTGTTAGTAACATTTTGCCTTCATTGATCTGAGATATTTCAAACTCTTTAGACCAGGTATCAACCCTTTTCCAGAAAAGGTCGGACAGTAATTGTGGGCCACATATGGTTTCTGTTGCAAACCCCCTAGACAACTTACTGGACAAAAGAAAAAATCGCTTTTGTTGAAGTCTTTAGTTTATTCTTTCCTGCCTCTAAGAACATGAAATATTATACTGGCCACTGTTTCTAACATAAACGCTGGCACCCCAGAATTTCAAATCCAGCTGCATGGGATGTGTCTTTGCCTGTGGTTTAAATCGGCCTAGTCTACAAGGATCACTTATTCATCGGGGGCTACGCAATTCTCTGCTTTAGAGAAAAGACAGATGCCAAGTCCTTTCTGCTGGTAAAATACCCATTGTCACTATACTTTGAGCGCCTTCAGACCAAGCCACAGGCCTTAACTAGTGTTTATAGCCTCATAGTCTATTCAGCTCTGATGGGACCACCTGGAAATAATACCTCAGGGACAGCTCCAGGCCCCAGTCGCTTAGGTAGCCACAGATCACACCATCAATACCTAATATTTACAACTGCTATGAAGCTGCAAAAAGGTCTCACTGTGCTGAGACTTACACATAAATACCCTAAGCAGACCAAGTGCTGCGTATAAACATACAGATCTGCAGCAAAGACGGGCAGGGATAATTATGTGCTTCATCAAAAAATCCAAAGTAAGATTCCTTTTCAAGTTTCTTTTCTTTGAATTATGCAATTTATAAATATTTAATGTTTACATATGTAACCCTGAAGGAAAGTGTCTATCGGTTGAAAGGAAATTAACATTTGTTGAGTGTCTACATTGAGGCAGGTGTTTTAGAAGTGTTCTTCCATTTTATCCCTTCCACAACTTGTGTGTTATTCAATTTTATCCTTTCTACAACTTGCAAGAACTTTACGGAATATTATCGCTCTTTCGAGATAAGGAAACAGGCTCAGGAAAGTTAAGGAACTTGCCCGAGGTCACACAGCCAGGAAGTGGAGAAGCCAGAATTCAAGTCTTGATTGGCCCAAAGCCACGGTTTTGCCCTTTCCTCTGCATATGGTACCCAGAACACACTCATCCTCCCCCACCCTGTGCTCACCTCCAGACAGAGATGAGGGAGAGGTCTTGCCATCGTCCAAGAATTTAGACAGAAGGGACCTCACAAGCGATCATTTCTAACTAGACTACTTCCTGGAACATGTCCATGGGGGCACCAAACTTTTATTTGGCTGCTGGAGCTGGTGAGAGCTTAATAGCTCAGCATTAAATTTTAAATTACAAATAAATAAATAAAAATGGAGAAAGGTTGATTTTATAGCCTGAAAGGGAGGGAAGAGAGAAAAGAGAGAGAAAGCCCCAAAAAAAGAAGAGAGGAAAGCAAAAGAGACAAAGTGTCAGCTGAGCTCAGTTACAGCAATGCCCAAGACTTCTGAAAAGCAGGTCCATCTAGTACCCAGTTTTAACTTGCTTCATATGTGTGATATAAATTCCTCTCTCGCTCCCCCAAATCTTCAGTAAAATGGGCTATGCAAGCAAATGCCCTGGGGAAGTGGTTTTAAATA